CCCGCCCTAGACAGCTCGTCCCAACGAGGGATCTCGGAGGCCTCCGGGAACTGGTGACGCCATGCGTCCGTCAGGCGGCCAAAGCAGCGCGGAGTGGGGTGCGCACCCCCACACTGCTCACCCGCACGGTCGCCGGTGCGCAGGACGTAGGTACACGGACCAAAACCCCCACCCCGCTGGCGTGCAGTGTACCACTCACGGAGCTGCTGAGGGGACAGGGTCGCACGACCACGCTGCTGCTGCTGGCGCGAGCCACCACCGGAGCCACTCCTCTGCAAAGACCCGCGACCAGCTCCACCGCCACCCCCACCGCCTCCACCGCCTCCGCTGCCTCCACTGCCGCCGCCGCCTCCACCGCCTCCTCCACCGCCGCCTCCTCCGCCACCTCCGCTACCACCGCCACCGCCGCCGCGGCCTCCGCCTCCACTGCCGCCACCGAACCCCCCACCCCCACCTCCACCTCCACCGCTACCCCCACTCCCCCCACTGCCTCCACCTCCACCTCCACCGCCCGCTCCTCCAGCTCCCTTGCCCCCCTTGCCCTTGCCAGGGCGGCGTCTCCCGCTAGGGGCAGACGCCGCACCGACCGACTCAAGACCAAGGAGGTCGGCCGAAGCAGCAGAGGCAACAGAGGGCAGCAGGGGGGAGGGAGAACACCCCTCAAAGATGGGGGTGCGCGGGTCACCTCGAGAGGCTCCTACAGCGACTATGCTCTTTTCTATCGCGAGGAGGGCCTTCTCGAGGAGGTCTACAGTGAGTGTGGTGGGACAGACTGAGAGAAAGTGGTCCCTGACTACTCGAAGGGAGTCAGGGAGGCGAGTGACTAGGAAGTACAGAGTGATGTACATGGGGGGGGGGTTCGCGGTGCAGAAGTCAGCAGGAAGTGCAGCGCGGTAGCGAGTGTCACTAGTGCGGAGGTGCGTAATGAGGTCAGCAACGGTGGGAAAAGAAGCAAGGTCAGGGAAGAGGTACGGCAGCATGAGACGGCTCAGTGCAGCAGTGGAAGGGGAGGAGTAGCGCGCGACTACAGCGGCGTACAAGGTCTGAGCACTCTTGTACTGACTAAAGTGCGCACGCTCGGAGGTAGGGAGGTGGCGACGCACAGCAAGACGTGCAGCAGCATCGCGCGTGGCCCACTGGGAGCGAACAGTGGCGTCAGCATCAGCAGCAGGGGCAGGGGAAGCGCCAGAGGTGAGGTCAAAGAGAGAGAGGCCGTCCGCCCTATCGCACTGTAAGAACAGCTGTAGGTCATCTACCCAGACCTCAAAGTCAATGGCCCGACCCTCAGCGTCAAAAGTGAGGACACTAGGGGTAGCCATGACAGCAGTAGACCAGCAGTGCAAGGAGTAGGGGAAGAGCACGCAGTGACAGAGGGTCTGTGCTCACCGGACAGGGCTGCTCGGGTGGCTCGGCTGCAGGGCGGCTCGGCCGCTGGGCGGCTCGGCGGCTGGGCGGCTCGGCGGCTGGGCGGCTCGGCAGCTGGGCGGCTCGGCGGCTGGGCGGTCGGCTGCACGGCGGCTCGGCTGGTGGGAGGCCGGGCGGCTCGGCTGCAGCGCGGCTCGGCGGCGGGGCGGCTCGGCTGCTCTGCTGCTGGGCGGCTCGGCTGCGCTGCTGTTGGGCGGCTCGGCTGGGCCGCTGACGTAGGGCGGCGGGGCCGCTGTAGAGGAGTGGCGGGGCCGCTGCAGAAGGACGGCGGGGCCGCTGGGTAGTGAGGCGGCGGGGCCGCGAAGACGGGCGGCGGGGCCGCTGCAGAGAAGCGGCGGGGCCGCAGTGAAGGGCGGCGGGGCCGCAACGAGAGAGGCGGCGGGGCCGCAGCGAGAGAAGCGGCGGGGCCGCGAAGTCGGGCGGCGGGGCCGCTGAGTAGGGCGGCGGGGCCGCAGTGAGAGGCGGCGGGGCCGCAGCGAGAGAGGCGGCGGGACCGCGAAGACGGGCGGCGGGGCCGCTGAGACGGGTGGCGGGGCCGCAGTGAGTGGCGGCGGGGCCGCAGCGAGAGATGGCGGCGGGGCCGCGAAGACGGGCGGCGGGGCCGCAACGAGAGAGGCGGCGGGGCCGCAGAAAAGGGCGGCGACGGGCCGTAGGCGGCGCGAAGCCGCAGGTAAGGGCGGCGACGGGCCGGGGCGGCTTGAAGCCGCAGGTAGAGGCGGCGCGAAGCCGCGGGAAGGGCGGCGACGGGCCTGGGCGGCGCGAAGCCGCAGGTAGGGGCGGCGCGAAGCCGCCGGTGAGGGCGGCGCAAAGCCGCGGGTAAGGGCGGCGACGGGCCGGGAAAAGGGCGGCGCGCCGCAGCCGCTAGGGCGGCTCGACGCGACCGTAAGGGCGGCGCGACGGGCCGCTAGGTGCGACTCGACGGGCCGCTAAAAAAAAAGGCAGGCGCGACTCGAGGCGCGCTTCGGTGGGCCCAAGGAACAGTCCCTAGGAGGGGACCTGCTCTGATTCCATGTTAGAATGAGAACGAGAATGGGGTGAACTATGAAAATGAAGTGAGTACAAATATGAAACCCTAATTGGTTGTACCCCCTATGGGATACCCCACTATAGCCTACACAACAGCATAAGCTATAATGTTCTGACACCAAGTCGACGAGGCTCTGTACTTCAAGGTCGGCGACGACAAGGTGACCTGCTGGGTGCTGGTCTACGTCGATGACCTTCTCGCCGCGAGCAGCAGCACCGCGATGCTGAAGGAGCTGAAGGAGCTGCTGGAGGCCGCCTTCGAGCTGCGCGAGATTTCGCCGGTGCAGAAGTATCTCGGCCTGGAGATCGTGCGCGACAGGCCGGCGCGGAAGCTGTGGCTGCACCAGCAGGGCTACGCCGACAAGCTGCGCAGGCGCTTCATCGACGAGGAGCAGACCGTGCGCACTCCGAAGACGCCGGTCTCCGTCGCCGCCTACGCGGAGCAGACATTCGACGACGAGGAGGCGCAGGAGCGCGAGGAGGAGGAGTACCGGCAGAAGGTCGGCTCGCTGCAGTTCGCGGCGACGACGACGAGGTCGGACATTGCATTCGCGTGCAGCAAGCTGGGGAGCGGCCTCACGGTGAGGAGCGACCAGCACTGGCGCGAGGTCGACCGCTGCCTCGCCTACCTCGCCAACACGCGAGACACCGCCCTGGAGTTCAGCGGTGGTCCGGAGTCACTGGAGTTGGTCGGCTACGTGGACGCCGACGACGCCGGCGACAAGCAGAACCGGATGAGCACGGGCGGCTACGACGGAGGGGCCGCGGTCTCCTGGTCGAGCCAGCGCATCAAGTGCGCGACGCTGTCGTCGACCGAGTCGGAGTACGTGGCGGCCGTCGAAGCCGGCAAGGAGGGACGTCGCCTTCGCTTCCTCCTCGCGGAGTTCCAGCGGCTGGACGCCGGAAAGCCGACTGTCCTCAGGGTGGACAACAAGTCGGCCATCACGGTCGCCGAGGGCATGGGGTTGACGGGCAACCTCAAGCACATGGAGCGGCGACAGGCCTGGCTGCAGCACATGGTGAAGCGCGGGAAGTTTTCGCTGAAGTACATCCCGACCGCTGAGCAGCCGGCCGACTTCCTGACGAAGGCGCTGCACTACCCGGCCTTCAACCGGTGCTCCGTTGCAATCGGCCAAGTGCGCCTGGCCGATGTGGGCGACGGTGACAACGACGTGCAGCAGTAGGTGCCATGCCCTTTTGCATGGCTGGTGCGGTGACCGGCGTGCTGTGCGTTGTGTGCACGCCGACGGGCTATTCTCCGAGCAGTACTGCCGTGTGGGCCGGGGGGGCCCAAGCGTGAACGCGGCAGGGGAGTGTCAACGGGAGTAGTCCTCGCTTGGGCGGAGCCGACCGCGGGGACCGCGGTGGCCGCGGATGGACGACCGGGGGCCACGGGGGCCGCGGGATACCCGGTCGACCAGGATACCCGGGCGACGTGGGCGAAAGTCGCCGGGGGTGTTTTCTGCGAGAACGACCTCGGGGGTGGTATCCCGAAGTCGACGTGGCTGGTGGGCGCCGTCACGGGTGGAGTGTCTGCGCTGGGCATGTGACGGGGAGTTGAGCGCCAACCAGCTGCACGCACCTGCGAAGCTGGTGCACCATTGTCAGGCGGGTGCAACGCTGTGCAGCCGACTTACTGCAGCGTTGGCACACCGCGGACTTGCAACGTTGGCAAGCCGCGACTCTGCTCTGCTGGAGCGCGGTCGACCAAGTCGTGCTGGCACGCGGTCGACCGTGCTGCGCTGGCAGTCGACCAGCAGCCTTGCTAGGTCTGATGTAGTCTGTGTTGCCAATGTTGATGCAATCATTCTGAACTTTTGTGGTCATGTTTTCCTAGTGAAACTCTTGCAAATTTTCCCCGTGAACTAGCAAGTAGTGTTAGCACTTGGAAACGACTAAGGAACGAACGAACGCAGAGATCACACGAGCATCCGTGCCTAGCCCGCAGTCTAGCTCCCGTTGCTAAAGTTATCTCCGCAATGAGGAGGAGGAGGAGGAGGAGGAGGAGGAGGAGGAGGAGGAGGAGGAGGAGGAGCACGTGGAGTACCGTGTGGCAGGGGAGAGTGGGGAGGAAGAGGATGGATCGGGCAGTGGAGATGGAAGCGAGCGCGCATACAATCCTGCCGATGAGGGTGGTGATGCGGTCGACGACGAATATCACGAAATGGATGATTTGGAGGCGGAGGAAGGTGGGGAGGAAGACGAGGAGGCGGGCGACGAGGAGGAGGAGGGGGTCGGCGAAAACGAGGGGGGGCGTACACGTCGGCAAGCTCGGCGCCAGCAAAGGCCGGCGAGCGGAGGAGGAAGGGGGGGGGGGGGGAGCTGGTGGTGTTCGGAGTGGGCGTGTTGAGAAGAGGGGTCGGAACAGGGAGAGGAGAGGTGGAGGGGCGACGGCGCAGGGTCGCACCCCCCGCCGTTCCCCGACTGCTGAAGGGTCTGCCGACGAGTCTAGGCCTTGGCGACGGCCACGCGCTCCCGTCGACGACGCGGATCTCGGCATGACTGTCCACATGTACGGCCCTAAGATTGGCGGAAGGCGTAAGTGCAAGATGTGCCCAGTGACGATTTCATGGCAGAACAGCACCACCACCTCTGGCAAGCGGCACTACTTCAACAAGCACAGAGCTCACCTGGGTATCTGGGAGCACATGTGGAACTCCCGCCTCGTGGGAGAGAACGAGACCTTTCCAGAGAAGGGGTACGAGGGCGTGCCAAATGGAAGGGTCGAGTGGCCTTATTGCAGGCAGTGGCCAAACTTCCCTAGGCCCGGACGTGAGGCCGGCGTTCGTGGAAGGGGGGGGATGGAGCGGTTTGTGGGCCACCGGTTCAGCTTGCGCACCTTGCGAGAGGCACTCAACAAGCTGGTTGTGACCGGCAACGTGCATTTCCGCTTCGTGGAGTTGGAGGCGGTGAGTACAATTTGCTTGTACTGTTGTTGGACGCTTTACGTGTCTTCCCCTCTTTATGGATGATGTGTCCCACCGTGATGGAGGTGTCACCTGACCCCGAGTGCTGACCTTTCTCTTGACTGTCCCACGCAGTTCCGCGAGTTAATGGTGCTGCTCAACCCGAACGTCGCGAACGTCCGAGTCCTCCCATTTCGGTGGGCGGTGGCTCGTGAGTTGGTTGTGTTTGCGGAGCGCGCACGGCAGGAGGCGATGGCTGATTTGGCAGCATCGCCTGGAGAGCCTGGGCCGGGAGTCTCAATCTCCAGTGACATTTGGACCGGGGGGAACGGGAAGGCCTACTCGGTGGTAAAGGGCCACTTAGTGACACGGGAGTGGCAGCTGCGGGAGGAGACGCTGGATTTCCGTGAGATGACAGGGCGACACGGGGGAGAGGAGATTGCAGACTTGGTGCTGGAGGTGGTGCGTGATTGGGATTTGTTGGATCTTTGTGTCGCATTCGTGACCGACAACGCTTCCAGCAACACACGCGCGTTCCGCCTCCTGTTGGGTGGTAGTGCTCGACCTGCCATTTTCTGCCCGGGCATGCACATCAGGTACGTCTCTTTGACACTGTGTTGGAGTTGTGTGCAATGAATTCGTGTGTTGGTTATGTTGGCGTTCCACCACAGATGGCATGTGTGCCTGATGTGTGTTCTGTCCCCACACATCCTCTCGCCTAGGGTTGAGGAATGGGCGAACGCGACCATGTTTGCGTTCGGCCTTGCACGAACATGGCCGTTAGGCGAACCGAACACTGCTCAGTTCGCCGAACGACTTCCCCAAAAAAGGGTGTTCGGCGTTCGCCTGCAAAGGCGTGTTCGGGCGAACCTCAAACACGTTCGTGTTCGACACGGGGCGTTCTGCAACAGCGCCACGAACTTGAACGTGTTCGGGCAAACCTCGAACACGTTCGGGTGAACAATTTAAGCTGAAAAAACAAACCAGTTCGATTCGCCTCGAACGTGCTCATCCCTACTTCGCCCTCCCCCAGGTGCACATCGCACGTGCTGAACTTGGCGATCCAGTCAGCACTGAGTGTGCCCGCTGTGCGCGAGACCCTTCGTCTGATCCGAGACATCGCCATCTTCATTGGGTACTCCCCCATCCGAACGGCAAACTTCATGGCAGAGCAGGCGAGGGCGCACCCTGGGAGAGCGCCATTGAAGTTGGTGTAGGACAGCCCAACCCGATGGGGGTCGACGTATGAGATGGTGGTCCGCACCCTCGAGCTGCGCCGGGCGATCCATGTCCACTTCTACGACGACCAGGTACTACATTGCTAGCCGCCAACTACAAGCTGGGGCCTTGCTCCATATCACAACTGTGCTTGTATGACTATGTGTTTGTGTGACACCCTAATCGATGTCCTCTACCCCACTGCCTCCTCCCTAAACCCCGACCCCAGGGCACGACACGTCTTGAGAGGGAACGCTTTAGAGCGCTCCGTCTCAATGATGTGCACTGGGAGGTGCTGGAGGCGTTGAAGGGATTCCTTGCTCCCTTCAACGCCGTCAGCAAGGCGGCGGAAGGGTCGCTCTACCCGACCATCTCCATGGTCATTCCAAGCTACAACGACCTCCTTGATAGTTTGGAGGCGAAGCGCCATGGCAGCCTGTCCCCGCTGGTCATGGAAATGACCGTTGCCGCGCTGGGGCACTTAAAGAAGTATGTGTACGCCAGCAGCGACGACCTGCTCATCGCCACGTTCCTAGATCCAGCGATGAGGGAGGGGGTACTTCGCTCTGGGCACGTGGGAGACTGACTAAGCACCCAGAGTTGGTTAGCCAGGGGGGTGAGAGGCGGGCAAGGGGTCCGGTGACGGTGGATGAGATCCTGGATCTGGTGCGCACACGTATGACGGCTTACCAGGCGCGGGCAGCTGTGACAGCGCCTGCGCCTCCACCTGCTGCAGCAGCGCCAACAGCTGCTGCCGACATTGAGGGCGATGAGCACATTGGCAGTAGGCGCCGCTTAATCGCGCGCGTCTCAGCATCATGGGCTGCAGGAGGGGCTAGGCAGTTGGGTGACGAGACAAATATGTGAGCCACGATGACAAAAAAGACGTACCCCCCCTCGAGTTCTGGCGCACAGTGAAGAACCTTGATACGCTGCGAGCCATGGCCACGGATTACTTGGCGATCCCTGCCACCTCGGCAACGTGCGAGCGCGCATTCTCGCAAAGCAGGAACGAGATCACGTTCCAGCGCACGCGTCTGAACACCGAGCGCGTGCGGTCGTGCATGACTCTGCGGGTCTTGGTACGACACGCACCCTGGCGCTTGGATCGGCGATGGGGCAGATTCTGCCCGTTCTGCAGCAGCAGTGGACTTGGGGCTCGAGGAGGAGGAGGAGTGCGAGGAGGAGGAGGAGGAGGGGGGGGAGGTGCCATGTGCAGCGGGTGTGGGAGAGGGCTTGGGCTAGGGTGTTGAGGCTGTATGGGATCGCGTGGAGGGGTGGTGCTAGTGCAACCCGTATGCAGATTGGTTTTACCTTTCATAATTTGGGTGTTGGGATTTTTTTTTACCCTCTCATTTGCTGTTTTGTTTTGTACTTGATACTCTTGCTGAACCGTCTGACGCGCATGCCTTATACATTTCCTTGTGCATCATATTTACCCCCAAACTTAACTAGGTTCGAGTTCGCACAAACCTTTCAAGGTTTGAGCAAACCTTTAAGGTTCGCTGTTACATATACAAACATCAAACCTCCACATTCAAAAAAAAAGTTCGAGCAAACAAGTTCGGTTCGGTTCGACCCCCATGCAAGGTTCGAAAAGGTTTGAGCAAACATGTTTGAGTTCGGTTCGTGCTCATATCTACTCACAAGTATCGCAGCTGCCTGAGGCGGGAGAGGTCTTGCGGCACCACTCCTGTGCGGAGACCGTCCAAGTGAGCTACATTTCTGGTGCAGGGGGGAAAAGGAGGATGGACGGTCAGAAAGAATATGTGTGCTTCTGGGAGCAGTGAATTAGTTATGTTGGAAAAACATATTCCACTTTACAGTCTGAAATAAAACCAAGAGAGCAACGCAGAGGACTAATATTCAGCACCTCAACACATTTCTTTGGCGGTGGGTGTAAGGATTTTCTGATGTGACAGGCACTTAATGTAGTGTGACGGGACAGTAGCCAAACATAGCATGACGTGCTTACAGGTATTGCAAAGCAGTCAAGTCCATGGCCCATCGAGGGAATTGGGCAGTATGCAGCCAACTCAAGCCCCTGCAACATGCGAACATGATTTCGTAACAAAGGTGTAGAGCATGAAAGATTGAAGGGCGAACCCCAACCAGCCCACGTGGAACGGGACTGGGTCGGCCATTGAGTTGGGCTGAATCCGAGAAGTCCCAAGCCATTTCTTTTCTAAGACCGCCCAGCCCTTGGCCTGGCCACAATTTTCGGGCAACAGTTTGTGGCTGGTTAATTCTGGTTCACTCGTCCTCCGTGCGATTGTTTGGAGAACAGGGTGGACTGTGATCCTGACATCTGAAAGAAACAGGAATCTCTAGTGCCGTTAAGTTAAGTGCCTCTATAAAAAACAAAGGAGTCCTAGAGTCCCGGGCATGTATCGGACCACAAATAGATCTGGTTCGTAATGAGTGGCCTAACACAGCACAAGGCGCTTCAGTTCAAAATAGGCCAAAAAGGCAAAAGAAAGGCACCAGGTCGCCTTGTGGGGGGTGGTGAACTCGTGCGTGATTGTTACAAATAGAGGACAGGGCACTTCCTTATTTATTGTTTTCATTTTCCAAGTGCAGGGAAAAACGGTGTCAAATTATCCTCACCAGTGAGATTGTACTTCCAATAGTGTGAGCGTTGATTTATTCAGCTGCAGATATCTGTGCAGTCCTAAGTACTGCAGTTTCACAAAACCATGTGCTGTGCATCTTCCTTCGGTAAACTGCATGCAAATGCAAATGCTGATGTCAAGAGACCTCGATGATCTGGCAGTCTGCTCTGTTCTAACGAGCCGAGCCCATCAGCTGAGTTGACCCGTCCACTTGGATCTATGATCATGCTGAAGGGCGCCTTGGTTCTGGAGAGGGCAAGACCAGGAAGCACTGGGTCCAACAATACGATATCAAATACGGGTTGATAGAGGGGGGATGGAGGGAGGGATGGTTGGCTGGGCGGCAAGTGGTTGAGATTTGAGGGCTTACAAATAAGTGAGGGAGGTGAGGGTGCCAAGCAGCACTGGCAGCTCTCCTGTCCAGGGTACTGTTGAAATGGTGCTGTGAGAATGAGGCATGAGATGTATGGTGGAGTGGAGTGGAGTGCACACATCGTACAGCAGCACAGGGGAGTGTGGCGTTTGTGGAGCCTCAGAAGGAGGACCAGGTTTGGCGAACACTTTAAGCAAAAACAGGTGTTCGCCGTTCACCTGTGAAGGCGTGTTCGGGCGAACCTCGAACACGTTCGTGTTCGTCGCGGGGCAAATTGCAGCAGCGGCCCGAACACGTACTGTTTGGCGAACACTTTAAGCAAAAAAATCAAACCTGTTCGGTTCGCCTCGAACGTGTTCGAGGCGAACCATGTGCTCATCCCTAGACATTGCCAAGCGGTTCGAGGAGGTAGTTCAAGCATGGGGGTTGGTGGGGCGTTGTCACGGTATCACCACTGACAACGCCTCTAACAACAAGGCGGCCATCAGGCAACTGTCTGGGAATGGAGAGCGCTTTACATTGATCTCCCAGGACATGTGGCTCAGGCATGTTTTGATGGGCATTAGCGTGGGCATGGGCAGCTGCATGGGCAGCTGCATGGGCGGGTAGGTGCATGGGCATGGCATTGACATGGGCATGTGCATTGGCATGGACAGGTCCATTGGTATCAGTTTGTTGAACCACACTATTTGTCCCTTACGTTTCAAACAGGTGTTTGGCGCACGTGCTCAACCTGGCTGTCTAGAAGGTGCTTGGGGCAGAGAAGGTGAAGGTACCCCTGCAGCGCATACGCGACATGGCCACATTCGTTGGCCTATCGCCACAGCGCATGGCGCGGTTCAGGGAGGAGTTGAAGGATCCGTATCCTTCAATGAGGGAGCTCCAGCTAGTGCTGGATTGCGAGGTCCGCTGGGGGTCCACCTTTCTCATGGTGGCACGTGCCCTTCGTCTTCGTCGTCCATTGACCAGGCACTTCGCATAGGAGCAGGTGAGCATCTGACGTCATCCAGGGTTTTGCCATGCACTTTACTGTACGCACCTAAGCATTATGTATTCCAAGCCATAAACCATCCATGAAATCCAACTATGCTCGCGTACATCCATCCAACCCACTCCCCTGGTCGACCAGGTTACCTGGGTGACGAGGTTCTGCGAAGGAGTGCGACGGTCGCCCAGGTGGTAGTGGCGAGACCGACCTCGGTGGTGGTATCCCGAGGTCGACATGGCTGGTGGGCGCAGTCGCTGACGTGGAGTCGAGCTGGGCGTCTGCGCTGTGCACGTGACAAAGGAAAGTGCACCAACCAGCTTCACGCACCTGCGAAGCAGGTGCACCGTTGTCCTGCGAGTGCAGCGCTGTGCAGCCGACTTGCTGCAGCGTTGGCACACCATGGACTTGCAATATTGGCAAGCCGCGACTTTGCTCTGCTGGAGCGCGGTCGACCAAGTCGTGCTGGCACGCGGTCGACCATGCTGCGCTGGAAGTCGACCAGCAGCTTTGCTAGGTCTGATGTAGTCTTGCATGCCAATGTTGTTGCTATCATTCTGAACCATTGTTCTCAACTTTTGCTAGTGAAACTCTTGCAGTTTTGCCCTGTGAACGCACAAGTGCTAGAGAACGACTAAGTGAACGAACGCAGAGATCCCTCCTACCCCGTGCCTAGCCCGTAGTCTAGCTCCCGTTGATAGAGTTATCTCCGCAGGTAGGAGTGGGCATGCAGGGCATGCGAGGTCATGTGAGGGCATGAGTGTGCGTGCGTGTGTGGGCAGGGCATGTGGGGGCATGTGAGTGAGGGCATGTGAGGGCAGGGAAGCACTCACAGCATGCGCAGGGAGGGAGGCAGGGAGAGGTCAGTGATGGAACCTTGGAGGTAGTAGTTATAGGCAAACACACTGACGGATGGAGCACAGCACATGGGTGGGGTGGGGGGATACAGACAGACAGACTACAGTTGGAGAGACTCTTTTACTTCTGTTTTTGTTTTAGGAGCTTGAAAAGCACAACCTGATGGCCAGAGAAGTGAGGGTGGGGAAATATGGAGAAATGTCCTGCTTTGGGATGGGAAAGGAAAATGGGCACATCAGAGGATGAAACGGGGTCACAATGTGAGTAACAGTGGGAACAAGAATAAATTGAGAATACTCAATAAGGAGGACATTGAAGGGGAAAATATGATTCCTAAAGAGGATACTAAAGAACAAGGATAAAATGGGAATACTCAATAAGGAGGATTCTAAAGAGGACACTCAATAAGGAGGACACTGAAGGGAAATAGCACTGACGGTTGGTAGGCAGTCACGCTTGGACGTTTTTTAGGAGGCTCAAACGCACCGATGGTAATTAGGCAGTCGTGCTTAAATAGGAAGCTGGCAGCACCAAACGTTGATGAAACACAGCACACACGCACATTTGGTGTGCAAGGGTAACGCAAGCAATGGCTGTGGTCTACTGTTGTTGCCGTTATAATAAAACGTGAAAGGCCATGAGTGAGAGCTGGTTGCAACAGGCAGATTGTGGGAGCAGAGGAGTTTGTTTATATTCCAAAATGAGAACAGAAGATGCAAAGAGTAAGCGGGAATTGAAAAGGTAGGAAAGAAGGAGAGCAGAAGAGTTGAAAATTGGAAGAATGGAAGAGAGGAAAATTGTAAGAGAGGGGATTACAGGTTGCGGGGGTAGGGCATGCGAGAGAAGAGAGAGAAGACACTACGAGGCGTCCACCCCTTGATAAGTTCTCCAGCACCAGACATGTTCCTGCAAGAAGGGCAGCGGTACTTGTAATAAGCACATGTATGCATGCAATGCATACACGGACACAAGACTCGCATGTATCCACATGTACACATGTATGTATGGACACATGCACGCATGGATGTACGCATGCATGTATGGACACTCACACGCATGAGTGTATGGACACGCACACACATGCACGTATGGACACACAGACACATGCATGCATGGACACACGCATGCATGCATGAATGGGCACACACACACACACACATACACACACACACACACACACACATGCATGTATGGAGACACACACACATGTATGTATGGGCACGCACGTTGGGATAAACAAAGACATGCATGCATGAACAGACGTATTGGAGGGGTGTCGTCCTGGGGGGTGTGGGTGCGGTGACCCACCATACCAAACATGCACTTTTGTCCCAGTTGATTAGCAAACTCGGGCTATCCCTCCCTACAAGACGTACACATGTGTGCACGGGCAAAACCACACAGGCAATGCATGACG